CTGCCCTTAGGGGCCCTTTTAGACTGGACTGGCTTAACTTTTCCCTGAAGCTATCAAAATAATGGCTGTGGAGGATAAAAAACTGGGTTCTGTAGAAAGAGATTTTTAGAAATTAATGCATAATGGTTTGTATTAGAGCCTTAATTGCTTAATTTGCCTTTATTAAAAAAAAAAAGAAGGATAAAACCCAACAAAACAAACTCTGCTGATGTTTTGTGAATAATTTTTCTAGTCAGTTGATTATTTTCCCTCTTTGCAAATGATTCTCTGAGATCAGTGATTATGGAAATGAAGCTAATTAAAGTGTTTGTTTCAAAGTTACTTAACATGGAGGTGGCCGATAGTTTTCTGATCTTTTTCAAGGCAGTGGTTTGGCTGATCAGAGTGGGCACTGTTTCCTTTTCCTTAGTGAAGAGCAGTGTGTGTGTTGGCTGGTGACACATTCCTGTGTACCCAAAGTGTGGGAGGGCTGAGGGATTCCTGTGGACAGGAATGTTCACTGCAGCCACCAGTGTCACCTGTCCCAGGACATCAGCTCTAATGATGTTAATCATGATTTCCTTGAGGATTTGGTTAATGACACGTTGTATTATGCAAACACTGCAGCAGGAAAATTGTCTGTAAAACTTTGTAACTGTAAAAGTTGAATTTTAAAGCAACCAAAAGCAGTAACTCCTGTTTGACTACTGCAGGATCCTAACAGCATTTGGCAGCTGGTTCTGGGGATCAGCCCAAACCAAACACGAGTTAAGATGGCCAGAGCAGACAGATAATTACATGTTTTACCCAGGATATGGATTTCTGGTGATGTTGCTTGGTTGGTGTTTCTAACCCTAGTGTGAAACCCTTTGGAAACCTGTTTTTCTCCCTTCTCTCTTCTGTTCCTTCACAGTTAGGTTACAGCACATCTTCTCCTGCTCAGCTCTTTCCAGCTGCTTCACAGCCATGGAACTGAGTCCAGTAATGGGTAGCAATGAGCCTCTGACAGAGGAGGAACAGCAGCAGCTGAGGAATGTGTAGCTGCTGGAGTGGCAGAGAACTGGATTTTGAGGAAAGAAATTAACTGAAATTTCCTCAGCAGAACAGGGATGGAGCTTTGCCAGACACTCCCTAAGCACAGTTTTCCCCAGACGTCTGTGCTCGCTCTGGGGCAGCGCGTGCCGTGGGGAGAGGCACACGAGGCTGCCCAGGGGGGTGGGAGACACCACGAGGAAGCATTTGTGCTTTCTTACATTGGCTTGTTGCAGGATTTCTTTTACAAGGTGTTTGTTAGATGATTTTCTTCAAGAAACACTTTTTAGTCCTCATAGGACTTCTGGTCAACCAAATTCTTCCTTGTGCTTCAAGCTTCAATTAAGGAAGTGAACAACTTTCCTAATTTGTTGAGGTGAGTGATTCACTGGTTTAAGGGTGTCTCACAGCTGAGGCTTTGGCTTGGCACTATGGTGCAGAAATGGTTAATTAATCAAGACTCAATTTTTTTTTTTTGTTTAGGAACAATTTAAAAATAACTAAACATGATGTGAGTAAAGTAAAATAAAGTTCTAATTTTTACCAGTTAACTTTCAGCACTAAGAGAACTGGTCTCCACATCTTAGAACTACTACCATTAATACATACTAAATGATCACTGAACTGAAAAAAAAAATTAGAGAATTCAGACATAGAATCATCAAGGCTGGAGGAGACCTCTAAGATCCCCCAGTGTCAGATCCAGACACCTCTCAAACACCTCCAGAGATGGTGACTGCACCACCTCCCTGGGAATCTATTCTGTGCCTGTCAGGTAATTGTAGAGTGTCATGACATCACCCTGAGCCTCTTCTCCAGGCTAAACAAACCCAGTTCCCTCAGCCCTTCCTCAGCCCACATTTTTCAGACCTTTTCTGCCCTCACTGCCCTTGGCTGGACTTGCTCCAGCACCTCAATGTCCTTTTTGCAGTGAGGGGCCCAAAGCTGAGCAGAGCACTGAGCTGTGACCTCCCCAGTGCCCAGTGCAGGGGGATGAGCTCTGCCCTGGTCCTGCTGCCACACTGTTCTTGACACAGGCCAAGATGACACTGGCCTTCTTGGCCACCTGTGCACAGTTGGCTCATACTGAGCCACTGTCACCAAGTCCCTTTCTGATGAACACTCTCAAGCCACTCCTCCCCCAGCACTGAAGCAAAAAATAATAGAGAATTCAGACAGTAGTCCTAGGAGAATGGTTGGTTCCTGTTTTTCAAAGGTAGGTTACTTTTTTTTTTAAACAGAATTATAACCTTGATTAGAAGCTAAAACCTCTTAATCTGGTATAACTTTGTTTCATCCTTAAAAGGAAAAAGCAGCAATGTCCACAATAGATGTAACTCTTTCATTGTTAATGAACCAGTGGGTTGGAGGCCAAAGTGCCTCAGCACAGAAAGCAGCAGCAATGTAACCTGCTCTCAGGGTCAGCTGGGGCTTTGGTACTGGAAATGCCTCCTCAGCTGTCTGACACCTTCCCTGCCCCTCCTGTTACTGTGCTCTGGTACTGGAGGGAATTTTCCCCTGACAAGTGCTGCTGACATGATGTCCCTCACCATTAGGTAAGAGTTCATGTCCCATTCTTCAGCCTCTTTTTCTTGTCTGACACCTTGGACCCTCCTGTATGTTCTGACACATCCCAAAGGAAGGCAGTGAAGTTTGTTTCACAGGTGGAAACTGGTTTGGTTTTTTCCCTAGTAAAAATCTTAAATACTTTTAAACAGTAAGCACCAAAACTGACACTCTCCAGCAGTAACCAGTAGTCTCTGTCCCAAGAAATTCCCAACCTTCACATCTGTGGTAGAGATGTTCTTACAAAAACTCTATCACTAAGTTTTATTTCCTGTCCTTGCAAACTGAAATTACCACTGACCTGCCTCACCCCTTTGATAGGCAATAACATTATGTTCCAAGTTTATAACCCTTTTGGAAAAACTGTGTCACTGAGTCACTCAGTGACTGTTACTGCAAACAAAACCAGCAATTGTGAGAGCTCAAGCTGCAGCATCAGGAACACAGAGCAGCACAGACAACCTGACCCCTTTCCAGAGGAGGGAATAGCTTTCTTTGGCTACTACTACTGACTCAGATCCTTCCTAAAGTGGGGGTGGCGGGAGCCACTGGCTCACCTGTCACAGAACCATCAGGGTTGGAGGAGACCACTAAGATCATCAGTCCAGCCATGAACCTGTCACTGCTGGAACCCTAAACCAGATCCTCCAGTGTCAGGTCCAGATGTCTCTTCAACACTTCCAGGGATGGTGACCACCACCAACCATCCCAGTGCCTGAACACCCTCACAGGGAAAACATTTTTCCTAACATCTAATCTCACCCTCCCCTGTCTCACCTTATGCCCAGAAGAGCAGTTGCTCCATCCAGCTCCTCTGTTTCGGTAGAGTTGGTTTTTCCAGCACAAATCCAGGAAGCTCAGCACACAGCTTTACCTCAGCAGTGTTTCCAAAGGTTTGAGCGTAGCTTCCCTCTCCTCTTTCACAAAGCAGGACAGGAGTAGCTGGTGCAGGTCCTGTTTCAGTGTGGTTACAGTCACTCAGGGACGAGCACAAAGGATCCAGGTTCACTGCAACCTTTTTTACCACCAATGCAGAAATAAAGCCATTTATTTTTGATAAAATTGTCATTAGTGCAATACATCTGAAAAACAGAAGAATGAAATGGAAGTATTTACACATAACTTAAGCAACAAAACCAGATGTGGTCTGAGGTCATTTTAGTATTTTTTAAAGTAAAAATAAGGCAAATAAAAAAACGCTTCAGTGTTCTTTATCCAGACTAATCCAACTTAAAAATCAACGATTGTCTACACATACCGTGAAAAAGTACATGAATTTCCAGACAAGCTCAGACATTTCACAGCAGAAAAAAAACCAAATTCCAGAGTTACAGAACTGTTTGTTCCTTAAGTAACACGTAGATATTTTCAGAAGGCTGAGAGGCTTCCGTTCCTCCGGCCTGAGAGGCTCTCTGTGGACTGCACTTCAGCCAGGCAGGGAGAGCTTTCCTGGTCTCCAGGGAAGCTGTGGAGCGTGCCGAGCACGGAGCCGTTCGCCGCCCGCTCGTCCCTCCGCAGCGACAGCGGCAGGTTGGCCAGGCTGAGGCTCACGTCTTTGAAGGCATGCAACAAAAAGATCCCCACAATAATAGTCAGGAAGCCACTGAAGGTGCCAATGATGTCATCGGGCTCCATGTGCTGCCACTCCTTGAACAGGATGGCGGAACAGGTCAGAACCGACGTCGTGAAGATTACGTAGTAGATGGGAGTCACTATGGAAGTGTTGAAAATATCCAGAGCCCTGTTCAGGTAGTTGATCTGTGTGCTCACACAGACAGTAAGGCTGAGCAGCAGAATCCAGAACAAGGGATGTCTCAGCACTGGTTTTCCTGCAAACAGTTCCTTTATGGCGATGCCCAAACCCTTCACGCAGGAGACCGACAGTGCTCCGATGACAGAGCAGATGGTGATGTACACGAGGATGTTGGTCTGTCCGTGGCGAGGTCCCACCACAAAGATCAGGATCAAAGACACAATCACAACAAGGGTGGCGAAGACAACAAAACCTACAGTGGGGAAAGAGACATCTTGTTGCTTATGGACACCATCAAAAGCATCTAGACCTACTGAGAGAACACTGTGACCAACTCAGCTTAACAGCAAGAGTTCAGAATGTTTCTTGTTACTCCTCCAACATCACAGTTAAAATAGTTTAGAGTGAACTAGCCAAAACAACATGCCTGAGGCTCTTTCTGTTACCTTCACCAGTCTAGTGCAGGACAACCACAGGAGCAGACTGAAACTGCCTCGCGGCGCACTGCGGCGCAGACACCACTGGGCACAGGCCTGACTGGGAGCTGAGGCTTTTTGAGGGGGTACACCCTGGCAGGCAGATTCCCAATAATCAGCTCAGTCCTCAAGAACAGCTTTTGAACCTCTGTTCTGGCTATTTCCTGGTGTTCAAAATGGGAATTGCCTTTACATGTGTAGTATTTTGCAGATGTGCATTGTGAGTCCTCATCTTCCACATCAGCACAGCCACTGGTCTCTAGGATTTTCCTTCTCAGCAGACACCACGACACCTACTTTTGCATTTTAAGGACAGCTCAAAGTTGGCCTTGCAGACCTATAAATTTTGACTGAAGATGTCAGAGTTTTGTTTATCCACCTGTGCTGCTGCATTTGTTGAAAGAGTCAGTGGTTCACACCAAGACACTTTGTCCAAGGCCAGACAAGTTCACTGCAAAGCTCCCATGGAATAATGTCACACAATTGCAATCTCCACACGCAGAACTTCAGAGCAGTAAGGAGCCCCTAACAAAGACATGGCTGGCTGTGTACCTATCAAACCAGCACTTTTCTTACCTGGATCACCTAGTTTGTGGGACATTTCGTTCAAAGTTTCTATTTCCTCCTCTTGCGGAGCATGAATTACCATCACAGTTGATCCCAGTATACTTAGCAAACACCCTATTTTTCCGTGTAAATTCAGTTTTTCATTTAAAAAGAAGGATGACAGAATGGCACTAAGAAGAAGAAAAAAAAATATGCAGCAACAGACATGGAATTAGCAATTTTCATTTGCTCATCAACTTACAGGTTGCTTTGACAGTACAGGTCACTCACATTCACAATGTGCAGCTTAAATACAGTAATATCATTGATCTGCTATCTCAAGGTACTTGCTGTGGACTGAAATACCTGTTAGTATTTGGCATCTCTCCCCAGGACCACACTTTTATGCTGCCTGCTCAAAAATGCTATAACTAAGCACTTGCAAAAACAATTTTAAAGAGAAAAAATCTTGCCTTAGGAAGGAGAGCACTGCTCTCTTGTTACACCATGGTTTTGAAATGCAGAAGGCAATAGCTTTTCAGAGATGGAGGTGGAGATGCATTAAAACTCTTATAGCACAGTCACTACATATTTGGAGAAACTTAAATGTTTATCAGCTCTCTTTATTTATTGTTAAGGACAAACCACATTTATAACAGACACAGTTCCAAATAAATGTTCTACTTCTCTCTCTGAAGTCACACTGCTTTCTGTGAGTGTTTCTTACCTTACAAGAACACTGAGAGCTCCTAAAGGAGTCACTAATGTGGCTGGTGCAAAAGCATAGGCAGCAAAGTTAGCTACTTCTCCAGCTCCCACTGCAGAGGACAAGAATTAAACCAGGAGTTAGGGCTGTCTGACGCAGCAAACCTGTGAATCAGTGCACGAGTCTGTGTAGCCACACACACACATGCAGTAAGGAACAGTGGCCAACTCTGCTGACAGCATTCAGCTAGCAGTACCAGCAGAGCACAGCCCTAACCTTCCCTCCTCCCACTGAATTTGAAAGCCAGGCTGTGGGACTACAACAGCTACTAGAATGAATCCTGGTCAGAAGGTGCTTTATTTCAGTGTCTGTATTGCAGCTCCCCAGCCTGCCAGCTTGGCTTATGACCTCCTGCATGGAGAAATCTGCAATAGCAGGATACAGGGAACACACACAGTAAGCCACAGTACCTGAATCCAGGCAGTGAGAGTTTAGGCAATCAAAAAGTTCAGAAAATACACGTAATCCCAAAATATGCTTCCCTCTAAAGAATCCTATGTGTTTCAGCACTCCTCTGCTAAGACAAAAACCAGAATGCATATGCTAGCAAAGACACACAGGAAGCCAAATGTCTGCCCAGTCCCACTGCAGAAAGAGGCAGTCAAATTAAAGGAAGAACTGGTGTGAGAGAAGTTATACTAAACTCATGGGAGCTACAGCCATCAAATCACCAAGGAGCATTAGCATGCAGTGTAGAGTGCCAACCTCATTCCTTTCTTGTAACCATTGCTGCCATCTGTGCCAGTTATTTAGCAAAATTATATAATGCAGATTGTATTTTTGACACTTGGATGAATATATTTTTGCTACTTACTTGAAAGAAGTCCAGCCCACCACAGCCACTCCTTAAGATATGCATGACCACCTTGACCTAAAATTGAAAGAATGTTTGCTACTCCACTGAAAACAGACAGCAACAACTCATCACTGGTAACACTGCCATGCCATGCAACAATTTTTGCAGCCCATGCTCTCAAAAACATGGGCAGCCTTTGGGTACTCAGGCTTGCCAGGTAGCAGGGTTGAAATAAAAGCACCTGCAATTTCTGCTGTGCACATGCCTCCTACAACCTACTCTGAAAACCAGTTATTTTATTTCTGTTGTATTAGAAATGGCACTGATGACCATACCTGCATTGACCTGAGAAACAGTTCTTTTGACTCACTGTAATGACATGAAAAGCCAAGTTATGTGTTATCTTTCTAAGAGTGCTCCTCTGTGAGGAACTGTGCATGGTCTGCGTGGTTGACTCCGTGTGCAAACATCACACTTGCTCGTTCCAAACCAGGGAGCATGAATTATGTACCTCAAGATCAACCAAAGAAGCAAAGACGACAGGTAATGAATGAAAGAATACTGAGAGTCAACCTTCCCAATCATCTGAGGATGCTGGAACCATCCTATCTAAATCTATACTCTTTCAGTTAAAAACCATTGCCCCTCATCCTGTCACTACAGGAGTGGTAAAAAAAAAAAAAAGATCAGTCTTTCTTGTAAGCTTCCTTTAGGTACAGGAAAGCTGTAAGGTCTTCCCAGAGCCTTCTCCAGACTGAACAGCCTCAACTCTGTCAGCCTGTGATCCCTTTCATGGCCCTGCTGTGGACTTGCTCCAACAGGTCCATGTCTTTCTGTACCAACCAAGGACTGCACACCTGGGAGCAGCACTCCAGGTGGGTCTCACCAGGGCAGAGCAGAGGGGCAGAATCACTTCTCTTGCCCTGCTGCCCACACCTCACTTGATGCAGCCCAGGACAGGATTGGCTTTCTGGGCTGCAAGTGCACATTAGGTCAGTGCCAGCTCTGCACTCACCAGCACCCCCAGGGCCCTGGCAGGGCTGCTCTCAATTGCTCATTGCCTCTGTCAATACCAGGGGCTGTCCCATTCCAGGGCAGGACCCTGTGCTGGCTCTCGCTGAGCCTCATGAGGTTTGCACAGACCCACTCCTCAAGCCCAGCCAGGTCCCTCTGGATGCCATTCCTTCTCTCCAGTGCATCAGATGTCCCACTCAGCTTGGTGTCATCCACACACTCCATCCCACTCTATCACTGATGAAGATATTTAATAGTACTGCTCCCAGGAGGAACCCCTGAGGGACACAACTTGTTACACTCAATTAATACATGTGATTTTCAGTTTTCTAGAACAACCTCCCCACACTCAAACACACTTAACACTCTCCTAAATTCACTCATTCAGGAGCACAGAGGTAGTCGAGATTGCTGCTTCCAAGTTTGATTTGCAAGTACAATTTAGACTTAACTGACATGCAAAGGAATCCTTGGACAAGTGTGCCCAGAGGGTATTACATGCAAATTAAATGACATGTATCACACAGAGTTAGGTGTATCTGACACCAGAGAAAAAACACTCCAGCTCTATGTTTTAGGTTTCATATACATGTAACAAACAAAAAAGAAGTCAAACCAAGATAATTAGTTTACTAATCTTCTGTTAAACAGCAAAACATCAGCAATTTTTACCAGGTTTCTTTATTTACCTGCTCTCATGGAGCCTTTTCTGGCTAACCGGAGGAGACCTTTCTTTTTCAGGATGAAACTTCCTCCAATGAAAATGCTGGAACTCATAGCCAGCACCAGACCAATACAGAAGTCATATCTCCCACGAGTTTGGCTCATCTCGTAAACTACGACAGCCTGTCACATGGATCAACGAGGAGCAGAACTTCTGTGACTCAACACAAAGGATGCAGCTCTGAACCTGAGCAAAACAAACACAGGAGAATCAAACTGGGGGAAATACATACAGGAAACTCCTCAGCAGGTTCCTGTGACTGGTTCTGCTGTGAATGGTTTCTGCTCTGTTTCAAAAGCAATCAGGCAACCTTTGCAGCATGTGTGAGCTTGAGCCATGGCCTGCCAGGTAAAAACTGAAACTCAACAAATGAAAGCTCCTTGAGAAACCTTAAGGCAAGCTTACAAATACATGATTTACTCCTCCTGTCATTGAGTACACAGCTCTGGGTCTGGCACACCATGTAACTGATGATACTGAGCAAACGACTTACGCTGAAATCAGTTTGCTGGAGAGTTTGAGAACAGCTGCAGAATTTCTTCCACATAAACGCCCTGGAGAAACGAGAGAGAGGATTAGAAGTGTCATCTTCATAACACAAACGAGTTTGACATGTATGCACCTGTGATTATCCCCTAACAACCAAAAATACTATAAATAATAAAGATATTATATTACAGAGCTTCCTGTTCCTGTATGAAGCATCTTTTCAGCTTAGCTACAGGACCACAGGAGTTCAGAGCTGAAAGGCTTTCACCTAGCCTGGTAGGAATTCAGCTTCAGTTAGGCAACACCTTCCGTGACAGCTTAGTAGAAGACACTGTTTTCAGACCAGAAATCAAGAATTTACATACTCAGACTCTAGCTTAACAAGGAAATTTATTTAGTGCATCTCTTCTCACTGCATCATGTAACAGGAGGATATCCATTTAACACACAGGATTTTGAATCTCAGATAGCTCTATAAATAATTTTTAAACTGTGGAAAAAGACCCTCAGAGTACATTCAATGTGATCAGCCTCTCTGTAGTATGAAGGAAAACGAAACCTACTTTTAGGCTTTGCTTTCAAGACAACTGGTAATTATGACAGCATGGGGAACTGTTCCAAAGGGAAAAAACCCACAACACCTATAGAGACCAAGAAAGTATTTCCTGGGAATACCACAGATGTACCAAGACTAGCATTTGGTTCCCTGAGCAATTATTTCCCAGCTATACAGAAGCACAGCACGTGACGTAAGCTGCATTAACACGCTCTGGATTTTAAGTAGAAGGGGCAAAGCAGAGGATGGAGTAGAGTGTTTCCATTTCAGTGCTCACTGGAACCTGCTGGAGATACAGCAGCTTCCTCGAGCAGGAGTGCAATGCTGGTGTCACCCTCTCTCGTGCCCAGGCAGAGCTGGACATACCCCCTGGGAGTCTGGGACTACACAAAATCATATTCCTGTCTCTATGCCAGTTCACACTGATGATTTCTGCACCTGTTTCTTCAAAACCTGTTTGCTTCCAACACTACTTTTCCCTGTACTTTCTTGCTTCCTATGATTAGTTTTCTATACCTGTAGGAAAGACCTAGCAGAAAGCTAATTAAAACATTAAAGCTGAACACAGATCCTCCAACTTGCATCCGTTTAGGCTGTGAAAAAGTAGAGGAAAACAATCCATTCAGTCAGAACTCAACATGACACTACTCAAAATGCTGCAAGAGCCACAGCTCAAAATACTCAAATCCTCTTCCCTTAATCCTCACATAGTCATTTTTAATATCTTATTTTGTAAGTGAAGCTACGTAAATGATCTGCAAGAGAGTGCTTTCATTTTCTAGCAACCTTTCAAAATAAACTGGATTCCTGCATGACACGAGGTGGTGTATCAAACAACACCAAGAAAGAGAACTCACGAGTGCAGGAGACAGAGCAGAACAAGCCACCTGGCTAACCACGTAAGATATTCCCCTGGGCCCGAATTCAAACAAGACTTTCAGTCCCCTGAAGAATAAAGGCAATTTTTATGCAAGGTAAAGACATCAGCAGCCTTTTGTGACTGTTCTCCCTCCCATCTTTTCCAGCAGGTGTGAGGCAAACTGTTCAGGTAATCGAGCTAAGAGTGTTCTTCTATCTCCAGCTGCTGCAAAATCTGATACTGCCAAAGCGTCTCCTGGGGGAGGAGGAGCTGCTTTTGCTAAGCTTTTATACCCTACCAGTTGTTTCAACAGTTGCTACTTTAGTGATATTACTAATGGGAGTATTTTTACTAGTGTAGCTTTTCACTACAAGAGAACTCTCCCTACAGACAAACCCACCATTTCCCCCACTCTTCTCTCCCTGCTTTGCATACCACCTTGACAGAGGTAAAGAGCATCAGTTAGTCCCACCCTGACATCTTCCACCCACTGCACTTCAGAGACAAGGGAGAAGCACAGGCTGCTTTTCTTTGCAGCAGAGGAAGAACCTGACTGCAGAAGAATGAGGAAAACTTGCAAGCTAATGGATAATTTTTTGAATTTAGACTTAAAAACACCCTAAGGATGCTACACTTTAAAACTGGGAGCTCTACTCTCCCCCATGTCCTAAACAGAAGAGTTTCTGATGCCTTGTCCACCACTTTGTTAGTCTCGTAAGGAGCTCAAACCTTAGCCACTTGAATTACAGGAGCCCACAGAAATTCCTGCTAGCTCTTCTTGCAAAGTTTGTTTGTGCTCACAGACATGGCCAGTCCCATTTCTGCTCGGGCTGGACTGCCCCATACTTCCCACTTGAGGTTTAGACAGATATCTACATTTGCAGACCACTTCTGTGGCACACTCACGGTGAACCCAACTTCTCTCTGAAGAGATTTGGTTCACTTTGCATAAAGCAAAGACACAGTTTGTGTGTGGAGAACTGACATGGACAGCTGCAAAGCCGAAGCAACACCAGACACCAGAAGTTTTACCTTCAGGAAATGAGTAGTTTAATTCTAACCCTAAGACTCAGGAAAAGAAGAACAAATGCATCCTCATAAATATCATCAAGAAAACTTGTCTTTGGAAATGAGAACCAGAAATGCCACGAAACGCGCAGTTTCTGGAGTAAATACACCTCTCCTGTCTCAGCTTTGGGACATTCCAGCAGCCACGGCCACTACTCAGTTATTAACAGCAGAGAAGCCAGAAAATGCAGGAGTTCAATAAAGCTGGCAGGAGTGCAGTTCTGCAGAGGTTCTTTGACCAGGTTCACAGCTGATTTTAACACAGAACATTTCACCCACCCAAGGTCAGCAGTCTCACAGAGGAACACTGGTTTGCTGCTCTGATCCCAGAGAGGGAACGAGGGGATGAGACTCTCCCATCCACAGAAGCTACAACATTTACAAACCTCCCAGAACCTCTCCTCAGTGAGCTGCCTGTGGGTCTGCTGGTCCCGGAACTCTCAGTGCACAGCAGCACTGACAGACCACACAGGGAGCACAGACTGAGGCTGAAGCTACTGCACAGGGAGAGATGGAGAACCTCTGAATGAAAAAACCTGACACAGACAAGTTAAGATTACCCACAAAGTTTGTTTGCTGGATACATTTTCAAGACATAACCAAAAAGTATCACAAATGCTGACAAGAAACAGACCCTCTGGTCTGAAACACAAGGGAAATTTTTTGCTCCAAAGTGCTTTTCTCCCAAAAGTGGAACATACAAAGCACTCAAAAGATGTTACATGCATTGTAGCAAGTTGCTCTCAAAGCATTCAGAAACACTAAAAGTGGTGTAATGAGATGAGACCCTATTTTACATCTAAAAGCACATCAGCATAAGTAAGTCTGTGGGAGTTATCAGCCAGAGGAAATTAGTATCACTTCCACAAACCACACGTTGTATGGAAGGAATAATTAGGGTTGGGAAAGGCAGACAGGGTGGATTGTTCCTACTTGGCCACAAGCCCTCCAGAGTTCATAAACAGTGTCTTCTGGTAATCTAAAGATATGCTAAATTATTCAAATGCAAGAATTCACAATTTTCTTCTCTAAAACCTATCTTTTGAACTGTGATCAGGATGAAGTCGCTAAGCAAAATGACCTTAACAGGCCATTTACTTCAAGCCTGTGCCATGTGTGACACCACTCACTGCTGCTCCTGCCCCAGGGAATTCAGCCAGGCTGCTCCCAGGAGAGGAAACTCCACGAACACAGCAGCCCATGCTTTGGTGCCATTAGGAGCTCTCATTACCTAAGGATCTTCACCCAGAGCTTTGCTTTCACTACCAAAGTCTGTTGTTTGTCCACTGTAGACCTGGAAAAGATACAAGTTCCTTATCTTTGCACCCACATCTTAATGTTACTCTGCGAGTTAGGTGCTTGGCACCTCCTGCCGTGCCACCCTCTGGGAATTCTCCAATTCCACACTTTGGGGTTTTTTAAGTGCAACTCCCAGAGCTGCAGACAATACTTCAGCCCGAGTTATTACTTTTGTAATAGTGGCAGACTACATTTCTTCTCAGACAACCAGAACCAGGTGGTTTTTGTAGCCCCTTCTGAGCAGTCACCTCCTGCTGGCTCATTTGCAGCCTATTAGTATAACCTCCTGCACATGTACATCACATTATTCCCTGCCTGTGTGTAGCATCTTCCATTTACTCCTATAAAATTAACCCTTTTTTTCCTAAAATATCTCCTGAAAAGATTCACCTGAGGTTACACACTGGCAACCCTTCCCTGCTCCACGTCCTTGAGCACTGCTTTGCCTTTTCAGCCAGATCACTAACACTAAACAGCACAACATTCAGACATGACTCACACGGAAGATTCCTGAACAAAGTCTGTTTTGACAAGAGAACAGTTCCTCCAGGTACAGCCATCCCCCGTCTTTTGAACTGCTCTGTGGTCTTTTATTATCAATTCTGCTTATTTACAAGAGCTCCATGAGAAGTTCTATGTTTCTAACATGGAAGTAAAGCACCTATTTAATGCCCTCCCAGCCATAAAGGTTTCCAGAAGAAAGAGGGGTTGAATCCACTGGCTGCTTTAACAATCACACACTGACTTATCTGACACATTAGCTATTGTGTTCCCTTCTTCCTTTCCACAGGCACAAAACTGCAGGAAACAGAAACACTCCTTAAGAACAAAAC